TCACGTACTAGCACGTGCGATTGAGACTTGTGCACACACGCACGTATGTGTGAGACTTGTGCACACACACACGTGAGTGTGAGACTTGTGCACACACACACGTACAAGCACGTGCGAGTGAGACTTGTGCACACACACACGTGTGTGTGTGAGACTTGTGCACACACACACGTGTGTGTGTGAGACTTGTGCACACACACACACGCACGTACAAGCATGTGCGACATGTTCGAATCACAACGTTGTAAATACTTCACCCACGATGATTGATTAATGAAGATTAAGCCACCCAATAGGTGGCACGGGCATGAATAGCCCAAAAGCTTCACCCTGGTACTACTAATACATATGCCAACAGAACCTTAACACCTAACCTAATCTACGTCTAAATATGTATTACATGCTAATATTCAATAATATTAATTTATATTTGAGAAAACTCCTATTTTGAATGATCAGCATGTTACACTTGGTGAATGCATATTTGGGGTCGGGCACTGGATGGAATGGACATAACCTGAGGATAGGTTGTGTTTTAGCCAGTAAACTACTGACCAGCGGGGCAGTCCACCTCGAACCGAGATTTTCGCGGAAAGCGAACCGCTCACTACACACAGAGATCACACTAACGTGATGCATCAAATGAACAAATCCACAAGGGCCGTGACGAGGATTCGAACCGGCGTCCGGGAGCATCCCAGACACAGTTTGGGATGCTCAGTCGATTAAGGCAGTGTCTGGGATGCTCCCGGACGCAGGTTCGAATCCTCGTCACGGCCCTTGTGGATTTGTTCGAACCACTCACCTTCGTAACAGTATTTTAATGACAAAATTTGAATATAAAGTTGATATTTGCTCGTCTCGTACATTAAATATTAACGTTTGTTAAGATCTAAATCTGAATAGTTGCTTACTCCACTGAACGACCCATCGAGGATACCGATGGGTCACTTGACTCATCACATATGAATAATAGATTTGGTCATCATCTCTTCAGCCATGTTATTGTAACTCATCGTCTGCATCTGGATTACATACCCACCAATCGGGCTGTGGTGGGTATGTGGGCCTGGTGGACCAAGATCTCACAAGTCAGTAGACGAACTCCCAAAACCCCATCAATCAGGTATCAAGCATATGACTCATCGATGATCTCGATGGGTCACTTGACTCATCAGTGAGGACTGGAGGAGTGAGTGTCCTGCACCGAATGCACCTCAACCTTGCCACATGTAGTGCCCATAAAGCCTACACTATCGTACAGCATGAAACCTCTATTTTTTGTCTGGTTTAAAAAATCAAAATTTAAAGTTATAAATAAATTAAAAATGACATATCAGGATTTTTGTAATGCCAGGGAGTGTCTGCCCTGCCCTGGCCCCTGCCCTGACACTCCCTGCCCCCCTGGCAGGAAGTGTCTGGGTGACTGGAGCTCCCATGGGCCATTGTGTGTATGTACTATGATACAAAACCGAGTGGTGAGAAATTATGTGAAGACTTTTAAGTTGTAAGAAGAAAGTATAGGTAAAAGTCGGTCGCCAGAGAACCATTTTGAAAATTAACCAATATTTGCTACTTATATTTTTTTAAATGGTTAGCAATTATTACGAACGGATCATTAGGCTTCTTGTCTTCACATCTGAAAATATTTAGTACAAGCGTTAAGTAAATTTAGTAAAAAATATTTAATAAAAGCATTTAGCATTTAGTAAAACGTAAAGAATAAATCGCATATCCTTTTGCATGACTTGCAATGAGGTTAATTATATGTTATGCTTTCTGAAGTAAAGATAATATATATATTGAGTTTTGTTAGCACGTCTTTGGTTAAAGGGTAATTTTCTTTCACAGACAAGCGTATACAAATTGGCTTTGGTAGTCTGTACTATAATAATAAATGTGAACAGCTGGTCAAGGTTGACGCGTATTAATTTACATGTTGCATTAGAGTAGAGCATGAAAATATATTTAGATGCACGATGCTTCTTAAGGAAATAATCCTTTATTTTGCAAATGATTTTTACACGTGGCATAGAATCAAGTGCATATTAATTATTTTAGGCATCCAGCAGACACAGTTAATATTTTAAAATATTGTTATATTGTTACACAGATATTCCACAGTCGAGACTGATGGCGACGATTTTCAGCCAGGCGTGGCATTGAAATTGAAATAAGTTTATTGAGGTAAAATACACACATAGGGATGAGGTAGCTCAAGCTATTCTCACCCCGTTCAGTACAACGTGTTCATACATAGATAGACACACATCACTAACAATCAACATATTACCGAACATTCTGAATGATAAACATATACATTTCCTAAGCCGTGGCATTGTTATATTTTAAAACCTTAGACTTATGTCTAGATTTGGGGCTAGCTAGTATTGAATTATATATATATATATATCAATTAATGCTTGAGGTTGATGGGAATATTGTAAAGGATTCCATTCATCTGGGCTTTAGGAGACTCGAACCGCAGACCCCGCGTGTGTGAAGTCGAAACTCTATCTTTGATTGTTAAGAATTGCTTGTGCCTTCTGTCTTTGTCAGTGACTAGCTTCTGATTGTGTAATTTCATATGAGGAAAGTCGTTCCAGGTGATCTGGCAATGGGACCTTCAGGCAGGCAGACATACTCACCTCCTGCCGCCCCCCGTAATGACAATCTAGTCGGTGAGTGGAGGAGGGACTTGTGATTCTTGGGGCTCTGCCAAATCTTGGATAAGAAGTAATTTTTCGCTGCCAGGGATAAGATTAATATATCAGGCATGTTATTATTGATTCATTTTTTGATACTTTGATATTTTAGTGGAGTTTTTCCTAGGGTTAATATATGTGATATACTCACACGTCATCAGCATAAACGGCTGTTGGTTTACTCAGTGAGTATGTAACTGTTGTTGCTGAATATGTCAGGGTTTATTAATTTTAGTGATGTCATTCCTATACATTCCTGTATTAAATGAATATTAGTTTACTGACATCGTGTGAACTAACTGGTAGGAGGAAGACAATATGTGAGCGTACGTGGGAGCCCTACAAAGCTCCCCCGGATGCCACATATCCTCTTCTTCGAGGCCGAGGGTCCGTGTGTGTGTGTCTGAAAAAGAGAGAGAAAGTGCAGTAGTGAATGATTCGGCGACATAATAACTCACTATTTAGAAAACACACGAAATATATACTAAGTATTGCTGTGTCTGGGTACAAGTGACAGGATGCACAACCCAGCGGGGTTTCTTCCTATTGGGGAGTGTTGTACTTGCTGCTATGGCGGTGTGTCCACTCACAGGATGAGTGGCGCTGCCCAATACTGTCACTATGGCGGTGTGTCCACTCACAGGATGAGTGGCGCTGCCCAATACTGTCACTATGGCGGTGTGTCCACTCACAGGATGAGTGGCGCTGCCCAATACTGTCACTATGGCGGTGTGTCCACTCACAGGATGAGTGGCGCTGCCCAATACTGTCACTATGGCGGTGTGTCCACTCACAGGATGTGTGGCGCTGCCCAATACTGTCACTATGGTGGTGTGTCCACTCACAGGATGAGTGGCGCTGCCCAATACTGTCACTATGGCGGTGTGTTCACTCACAGGATGAGTGGCGCTGCCCAATAAACTCGCCCCTGGGGGCAAAAATTTCAGTGCCAAGACAGGACCCTCTTCAGTAGTGAGCGGGAATGAGAGCGGTGGGTGCCTATATGGGGTCACAGCTGATTAACCCTTTAATTACCTTGAGAAACAGATCATTGGTAAACAAAATTACTTTGTTGTTTCACCAATCTGAGATCGTTTCAAAGCAATATCTTAGTAATGGGGGAAACTTTTAGACCCTGTTGGGTCTACTGTATAAGAAATTGCTATTATATAACTGATTGTTATACAGTTACATTAATCACATTATTGTTTTGAACGACTTAAAGTGATGTAGAAACAAGTAAAATCAAATGGTGATGGTGCATGCAGTTTATGCTTTCAGGCAAGTACGTGACCAGGCAACTGTTGGTGAACAAATAAATGGTGCCTCCGTGTTACATTATGTAGTTAGGTAACGATCCTCCCCCAGGGATAACCCATCCTTCAAACATCTTACACATGCACTTGGCGGGAGGAGGGAGGGGGAGAGCAATTTCCCCGAAGCTGCAAAGTTCAGCCTCCCACACGTGGAGGCTGAACATCAGCCTCCCTCCCTCCTTCCAAGTATTTTGGAGGAAGTTGTAAAGTTCAGCCTCCCACACGTGGAAGCTGAACATCAGCCTCCCTCCCTCCCTCCAAGTATTTTGGAGGAAGTTGCAAAGTTCAGCCTCCCACACGTGGAAGCTGAACATCAGCCTCCCTCCCTCCCTCCAAGTATTTTGGAGGAAGTTGCAAAGTTCAGCCTCCCACACGTGGAAGCTGAACATCAGCCTCCCTCCCTCCCTCCCTCCTTCCAAGTATTTTGGAGGAAGTTGCAAAGTTCAGCCTCCCACACGTGGAAGCTGAACATCAGCCTCCCTCCCTCCCTCCCTCCTTCCAAGTATTTTGGAGGAAGTTGTAAAGTTCAGCCTCCCACACGTGGAGGCTGAACATCAGCCTCCATCCCTCCAAGTATTTTGGAGGGATGGGGAGGTGGGGTAGATACCCTCTTCACCTAGGCTCTCCGCCAGGATTAACGACACCATTTGGTCACTTTATCACCACAGGCTGCTACGAGGGTTAGACATTATCTTAATGCCACTGTTCCGGAACCTTGGGTGTCAAGACACCCGAGCCGAAGTCTCGAAGACCAGTTTTTCCGTACGTTTACAAAAGCCCTCAAGTCTTGGGAAAGTTCACTTATCGCGTCAGCATCAGAAAGATATATAAGACCAGACGGTTCATATTGCCCGCGGTTTTCTTTATTGTTGGCGGTGAAGGTTTCAGAGTTGTCTGACATCACGACTATGGAAGCTACGTGACGCGCCACACATAACCACTTGCTTATTATTGTATGATACGTGGATATGTTGTTGTTAGAGATTCAGTAACTCGGAACAAGTTCCAAGTAGCACGGGCTATGGTGAGCCCGTAATACGTGGATAGATCCGAGTTGAATAAGACACAATGGGCGATGGTGTCGTGGCGAGGAATATCCAGTGTGAAATAGGAAGTGGAAATGGAGAGGGGGAAGTAAACAAATGGGAAGAAGAGGATTAGTAAACAAGTCAAGTGTATGAGGTAAGCAGAGAAGATGAGCGTGGACTGCTAGCGTCAAGTTAGAGCCTGGAGAGATAGGAGTGAGATGAGATAATTACGTTGGCAGGCAAGGTGAGTGGAGGACGGGCGAGGGTTGAAAGACTCCTTCACCAGGACAGAAGTGGGTAGTGCTGGAGAGACTGCCAGCGACGACGGTTGTGCCAGCGGTCATCACCTACCTGCGTGTCTCCGCGGCCCCGCCACCACCATACCCTCATCACCACCACACAACCCCAAGTAAGGCCACTTGATCACTAGTTGTCCATATTAGTACATGCAGATTGATGAGTCACGATAACGTGGCTGAAATATGTTGACCAGACCACACACTGGAGGGTGAAGGGACGACGACGTTTCGTCCGTCCTGGACCATTCTCAAGTCGATTGTAGACCACACACTAGAAGGTGAAGGGACGACGACGTTTCGGTCCGTCCTGGACCATTCTCAAGTCGATTCTCACAATCGACTTGAGAATGGTCCAGGACGGACCGAAACGTCGTCGTCCCTTCATTTTCTAGTGTGTGGTCTGGTCAACATATTATTACATACTTCACCTGAGGCCTGGTCAGCGACCGGGCCTCGGGGACGTTGATCCTTGGTACCATCGCAAGACGTGTAGATCCTTTATCAGTGTAAACAGTGACTAAGGGCTGGTGAGCCACAACCTCGCATATTTACGATGCAATAATTTTCTAATCATATATATACTGATTTATAGGACTTGATGGACTGGCGCACTCCAGTGAGCCAGTCTCAGTATACAGAACAGCTTGGGAGTCAGCGTGGTGAAGTGAGAGTTACCAACTCTGGTCATTGAATCCACTTTAAATCGATTTATGGCATTGTCTGGATTACACATTGTTAATCACGTAGAAGTCTGCAGGGATGCGGGTGCAAGAGATGCTGTGGTGTGTTATACTGGCAGCAGGTTTTCATTTACACACAGAGATCACACTAACGTGATGCATCAAATGAACAAATCCACAAGGGCCGTGACGAGGATTCGAACCTGCGTCCGGGAGCATCCCAGACACTGCCTTAATCGACTGAGCTGAGTAAGTCTGAGGTTTTCATTTAGATATGTTTCACTGAAGATGACTGCATATTTCTTGTTGATTATTTTTTAGTTTAGGAGTTCTATCCATCTGACTAGTGCTCTTGCATCTTGGTTTAATTGGAAAAGGATTTCTCCAAATGTCATATTTGTTTGAGATTGACTAAAAGAATAAAAGTTAACTGTAGAATTTATTACACTTTTTATAAATTTAGACAACGTTTCGAACCTACATGGTTCATTCTCAAGTGAGCAGACAGTAAGATTGATTGATTAAGTCACCCAAGAGCTGGCACGGGCATGAATAGCCCGTAAGTGGTGGCCCTTTTGAGCCATTACCAGTATCAAGGGCTGATACTGGAGATCTGTGGAGGCGCGACTGCACCCTGCGTGACGGGAGATGTCTCCCGGACCAAGTGGTGACCAGATGGTGGCAGACAGTAGGGGATATGTCGTATTTATACATACAATTAAAAGATCAGGTACATACAGTTAGGTGAGGAGTAAGCAGTAAAGGTTGATCAGTCCAGCAACCAGGAGGCCTGGTCGACGACCGGGCCGCGGGGACGCTAAGCCCCGGAAGCACCTCAAGGTAAGGTAAGAGGCATGGGTCAATAACGTTGGTGTTTTTGTCTTTCGCCTCGCAGCCTTAGGTAGGCTCTGGTGTCGTGGATTGGTGGTAGAAGCTATTTCACTAGTGTTAGTGGTGCTGTTAGCATTTGTAGACAGCACGTCTGCTAGCGCGGCTGCTGAGATGGTGATGATAGGAGTGTTGGGAGCTGGAGAGGGAATTACCTCTGTTTTTTTGCCGCCCGGGCCTTGGGTGGTTCTGGAGTCTGTGTTTAAATCGACCTCGTGGTCGTCCTGGTGGTAGTCTCCAGAGTGGTAGTGGAGGCAGTGAGACTTGCGCCAGGAGCTATGATGGGGTCTAGGCCATTGGCTAGGTATAATATGTTCAGTTCACTGACAAAACGGTGGTTATCTGAGGGATAATGCCTGCACGTGATGCAGGGGGCTGCGAAGGAGCCTGTGGGGCCTTGGGTCCCCATTGTGAAGGCTGGGTCGCTTAGTGGGATGAGCCACTCTTTGGTAAGACCGGAAAGTCTTCTGATCGGTTGGTGGGAGCTGAGGTGGTGGGTTGAGCACCTGGGACTCTGGTCGCGGAGGTAGAAGGGTTGTTTCTCTTGGCTTCAACCTGGGCTTTGATGATTTCCTGTTTGCGGGGGCAGCGGTATGAAATTGCGGGGTGATTGCCATCACAGAGCAAGCAGCGATGGCCTTGAGTGGAGTAGTGATGGTGCAGTGCGCACAGGCTGCACTTCTAGACAAGATGCTGACACTTGTTGGTGGGGTGGGAGAGCTCGTCGCACTTGAAACGCTGCTGGATCTTATGGTATCGTTCCTTTATTTTTTTACTTGGTGGGGTGGTATTTGTAAGCCGAAGCAGTAGAAACCTTGTGTGGCAGCCTGGGTGGCGGCGGCTATGGTCGTGAAAGTAATCTTCATTGAAGATTTGTCGGTGCTGCAGAACTTTAGGTTGAATACATCCAGGCTCGGATTTTCGTCCTTGATATTGTCCATGATCTTATGTTGCGGTCGGTCAGCGACCCACTGGCTGGTCCTGCTGGTAAAAACAGTTCTTCCGGCCAGGAACTGACGTGGGTAGTGAGGATGTTGGTGGTGCTCTTGCCAAGTATGGCATCGTTGGTCAAGAGTTGTTCTAGCTCTTCCTCACATGAAAAGAAGAGCACGATATCATCACCTTCCTGGCTAATGTTAGTGGGTGTGATGCCGGTAACGTCCTTCAGAACCTTTACAATATCGCTTTTACAGAAAGCATGACCATCAAGGGCGGTAGCCCTAACCTTTAAACTTTTGGGTCGCATTGTGTTCACACCACACCCGTGAGGGAGCCGGTCGGCCGAGCGGACAGCACACTGGACTTGTGATCCTGGGGTCCCGGGTTCGATCACGGGCGCCGGCGAGAAACAATGGGCAGAGTTTCTTTCACCATATGCCCCTGTTTTCTAGCAGTAAAATAGGTACCTGGGTGTTAGTCAGCTGTCACGGGCTGCTTCCTGGGGGTGGAGGTCTGGTCGAGGACCGGGCCGCGGGGACGCTGAGCCCTGAAATCGTCTCAAGATAACCTCAAGATGGCGTTTTGGGCAGTGATGTCATTGTTGGCATCGTCATGTTCCGGTCTTATTCTCACTCTCCTGGCGGGTGAACAGAAAATAGTTCCGTTATTTGAGTGTTTATGGTGGGTTTGACATTTATGTGAAGGGCTTCAAGAAATTGTAATGTTGACCAGACCACACATTAAAAGGTGAAAGGACGACGACGTTTCGGTCCGTCCTGGACCATTCTCAAGTCTATTGTGGTCGACTTGACTGATCACAATCGACTGACTTGATTGATCCCAATCAACTTGAGAATGGTCCAGGACGGACCGAAACGTCGTCGTCCCTTCACCTTCTAGTGTGTGGTCTGGTCAACATTCTTCAGCCACGTTATTGTGACTCATCGCCTGCATTTATAACATTATATATTAGACAAACCCCAACTTGTAAGTGTTTTTATTCAACATTTGTCTTGTTAGGGTGATGTCATGGGCTTGTCTCATGTGATTCCTGGGGGCACCGGATTCAAGATGGCATATCAAACGCCTCGTCAGCTTGGTCGACGTCATACCTAAATACTTAGATTGAAGGTTACATCATTCATGGGGGGGTGGGCAGGTGTACATGTTCGACTTCTGAAAAGGGTTCTCATTTGGCTTCAGGCGGGTTTTAATGAGGAGATCGGTGGCCTTCTTTGCTTTATAGTATATGATATGTTTTAGTTAGATGCTGTACTTTTTACTCCTATAATCCGCAAATAATCGGTAAATCCATAAATAATCCATAATGAATAATGCGTAAATAATCCGTAAAGGAGTAAAAAGCACGATCCCTAAGCAATACATGAAGAGAAGATAAAGCTGTCAGTATATTACAAGAACAAGAAGACGTCTAATTTGAAAGAGATGAATGGGGACGACCAGACCAGACACACACATTATATAGACAAAATGACAACATCTTGCTCATACTGTACATGCACAAACAACAAGGCACTGTTAAAATATCACATCATTCATACACAAAACCAGATTATCACCAGAGATATCCAGACTAGCGAGATAGAGAACAACTGGCTTGCGCTATTGCAATATTATCCTAGTCAACCAATGATAATGGTGCCAAGACATGATTACCTTGTCTCAAGTTCAAGTATGTTTATTGAGATAAGCAATAAATACATCTCAAAGGGATAGAATAGCTTAGGCTATTTCTATGTCTCTTCCGCAGGGTAATCATCTAAATTCCAATCACACCTGCTTGGCATATATATATATATTGCTGTCTTTGCTGTGTCTCAGTTACGGGCTCACCATAGCCCGTGCTACATGGAAATTTTGTTCCGAGTAGCTGAATCTAAAACAACAACAACACTGTCTCAGTTTTCAGCTGAGGATGCTAAGGTACTAAGGCCTATTACAAAATTTCTTCCCAGTTAAGATAGAACAGGAAATATAGAGAAGATTCGTGCAAGAATTATTGATCTAACCCTCTCGCTTTTATTTTATAACACGAACACATATACACACACACACACACACCTTAGGGCCTGACGGCTGAGTGGACAGCACCCGGGATTCGTATTCCTAGCAAAGGAAAGGAACAGACGGGCGTGGAGGAACTTCCGAAACAATAGAACAGCAGAAAGCAGAGAAAGATACCAGAGAACCAGGAATGAGTATGTCAGTGTGAAATGAGAAGCAGAGAGACAGTATGAAAATGATATAGCAAATAAAGCCAAGACAGAACCAAAACTGCTCCACAGCCATATCAGGCGGAAAACAACAGTGAAAGAACAGGTGATGAAACTTATAACGGGTGAGGACGGGTACACACAGAATGACAAAGAGGTACGTAAATAATTCAACAAGAGGTTCCAGGAGGTCTTTACAACAAAACGCGGTAAGGTCACTGCGCTAGGAGAGGTGGCAGTGAACCAGGCGGTCTTGGAAGAGTTCGAAATTACCAGAGATGAGGTAAAGAGGCATGTGTTGGATCTGGATGTGAGAAAGGCTGTTGATCCGGACAGAATTTCACCATGGGACCTGAAAGAATGCGCATA